CTTTTTTTACTTATATTACTTTTACAATCTAATCTTTCTGCTTTAATATTTTCTTTAAAATTTTAGTATTTTATTATTACAAATAATAAATAAAATAAGTATTTAGATTATCCTTTCATATTGGGGTAAAATAATTTCAACTTAAAGAATGATTATTTAAAAACCTCTTTAATTTATCTACCATATGGGTAGCGATCAATAAAAAAGATGAAATCTATAAATTTTGAGTAATTTTAGTTATTAAGCTAATTTTATTCATATGATTATAATCAGCAAAATGGATTAATAAAAAATTTTGACTAAAAAGTAGATTTCTTTCTTTTTTACTAATCACTCCTATATATTATATTTAATAAAAATGATGATTGATTTTCATTATTTTTATGCTTATTTAAAATATGCAAGATGACTTTAGTAATACTAAATAATATAAACTACTTTATTACTAGAGGAAATATATAATGTTTGATTAAATTCCTAATCAGTATAGATCTTTCACACAAAATCTGAGAAAATTTTATATTTTCTATATAAATAATTGTTTAAATATTATAGGAATTATATGTTTATGTATAGTGATATTTACTTTATTACTAATATAGTAAAACATTTTCACAGAATACCTAAATTATATATAGCTATAGAATGTCTTTTTAATATAAATAATGATCACCTTTTACAAATTCCTATTTTATATAAGTATAATAGCTATAATAATTATATAATACGCCTTATAATTTATATTCTATATCTAAAAATCTTTATTATTAATTAAAATATAATTAATAACTTTTTCATTATAGGTAAAATCATTAAGTTTGATAATAACATTATACATGTAGTTAAGCCTAAGCATTACATTATTAGGATAATAAAGCTTATTTACTAACTGAAAGTTTAAATTATAAACTATGAAAGAAATAAATACGTATTTATTATGTTAAAGAGTCAGATATTAAATTTCATTTATTCTTTTTTTTTTATTTTTTTATTTTACTTTTTTATTTATTTTAATTTATTTTAATTTTATATTTATTTTATTTTTTATTTTTTATTTTTTTTGTTTCTTTATTATTTTTTCTTTTTTAAATTTTTTTTTTTTATTTTATTTATTTTTCACTTTATTTTTTCTTTTTTTATTTCTCATTTTTTTTTGCATTTTTTTATTTAGTTTTATTAGTTTAGATTCAATTTTTTAGTTTCTTTTTTCTTATTAGTTTGCATTTCATATTTTTTTCATTTTTATACTATATTTATTTATGCAAACTTTTTTTTTTATTTTTTTAATCTTTTATTATAATTTTATATGATTTTTCTTTTTTTTAAAAAATAAAATAAAATAATAAATAAATAAAATAAAATAAAAATTTATGTTTTTAATTTTTATATTATAATTACAATTTTATTTTTTTTAAAATTTTTTTCAAATAGAATGATTCATTTATCATCTCAGCTAAGGTAGATTAAAATTTTTTTTGATTTATTGATTTATTATTTTTATTTGTATATAATAAATAATTTAATTATTTTTATTTTAGGTTAGATTATTTCTTTCTCATAAGTTAAAAACCAAATAGAACTTTTGAACAATACTATTTAATTTATCACTATGGTAAAAGTAAGCTAATATAAATTTTTATTTTATTTTAATATTTATATTGTTCTTCTCTTAGATTAAGAACTAAACAGAACCTTTAAATAAAACTATCTGATTCATTATGGTAAAATGACTAATTTTTTTTGATTTAATATTTTTTTTTCTTTTTCTTATTTTGATAATTAGTTTTGATTATTAATTTTATTTATTTTATCTTATTTATTTTTATTTATTTGATTGATTTTTAAGTAGTTTTAGATTAGATTGTAAGTGATTTATTTTATTTTTATAGGTTAGTTAATTCATTCTTTTAGTTAGAATTATTAGATAAAATAGGATTTTTATTATTACAGCATAGATTTTTAATAAATTCTTTGATTTTATTATTACTTTATTTATTAATAATCATAATTATTATTTTTTTTTTTATAAATTACATAATAAAAATTACAAAAAAAAACTTTCTTTAATTATTTATATGATTCTTCTATCTCAAACTTAATTTTAAAATTTATATATAAACAACTATTATTTCTATTAATATTAATATTAATATTGAAATTAAAATTGATATTAAAATTGATATTAAAATTGATATTAAATAACCTTCATAGTTTCTGTATAAAGCTAACCAAATTTATATTTATTTCTTTCTTTTAGAAATGGATATAGCTTTCACTATATAAAGTAAGATCACCTAAAATTAATATCTATATGGTATAAATTGTATATATTATTAATATGATTAAATTTTATTGATCATTTTCTTTTTAATTATAAATTAATCCTATATAAATTTTTATTTTTTTACAAGTTTACTTAGAGAAAAATGAGGATTTTAAATATAAAGTTAGGTTTTATAAAATATAATATAAAAATTAAATAATAATATTTATCTTATTTTCTATAAATAATATAAATTAAAATAATTAAAATTTCAATAATTTAATACTATTTTAAATATAATAATTTAAACCTAACTTTAAAACTTATCTAATTAAATTAGAGTAAACTAAAAATTTTATAAAAAAATTAATAGATATAAATTTTATTAACAGAATTATAAAATATTTTATTAATTATATAAAGATAATAGTATTTTTCTGTAATACTAATACTATCCCTTAAAATATAGATATAAATCAGTTATAAATATATAGAAAAATTATAATATTTTAATTTCTAATGATTATAAAAAGATAAAATAAAATTAATTAAATTTTTCATATTAAGATGTATCTAATAATAATATTTTTAATTTTTAAAATTAATAATTATTGATATATATTAATTTTTTAATTTTTTAAATTTTTTAAAATAACTTATTATCTAATAATTATAAGAAAATATAACTTTTTTTCACGATCACTTGATTAAGAATTTTTATATAAAAAATATGTATATTTAAGGATGATCATAGTTTAGTTTGCTAATAAAAAATAAAACACTTTTTATAAATTTTTTTCATTTCTTTGTTTTTTCCAAACCTCTTATTTCAAAAACAGTTTTTGTTAGTTTAAACAGTTGTGTTTTTTTAAAATATTTTTTCATCACTTCTCTTATCTATTTTTTCTATTTTTTCTCCTTTTTCTTTTTACCTACAAAAGTGGATACCAAGGGGGTATTCTATCAGGATCAATAAAAACTTTGGATCATTCAATTGCATATGATGATTTTTCCATTAACTTCCTAAATGAGTACATTTTTTAGATTTCTAATATTATAAAACCTGCAGATCTTAGTAGAATTTTTTAGTTTCTCACAACTGGTGTATTTTGAGCTCTATACAATGTCTGCTAACACTGTAATCTAAATTAATAAATATCTTAGTATAGAAGTTTGAGAGTACTTAAGAGCTTTTGATGAAATTTAGTAATATAGCTAGGAGGTCACTATAACTAGAAATTAACTAGGTAACTTAGCTAGAAACTTGTTAGAGTTAGATTTTTTATTAGCTTCTTTTTTGGTTTAATAATTATTTAAGTTACTTATTTTTGTATTAAACTTAATTTAAGAATTATTGTTAGAAAAAAGAGAGTGACATAATAATAATCTAGTTATTATACATTAATAGAGTTTACTAATAATTGTCTCCAGAGTATGCAGGATGACCAGTTGGTTTGAAACTTGTAAGTTTTTTAACTTGCAAGGACATTTTAGGCAGTTCAATTTATTTTTTTCTACTTTTTGTACCTAGTTTTTGGGATTTCTATATATTAACTTACTGGATTTAAATTTTTATAAAAAATATAAGCATTATCACATCTTTAAAAAAAAATAATTACAAGAAAATAAAATTTTGTTTGTTGAATTTACCTTTTTAAAACCTATTAAATGATTATATTTTCATATTTCTAAGATCAATAGATAGCAAGATATATAAGTTTAAAAATTAACTTTATTTTCATAATAATTATCATATATTTATCTGAATGTTTATTTAGAAAATATCATAAAATTTATTATAAAAATATTAATTTTTAAATAAATTATTTTAAAATATTATAAATAATTTTAATTATTAAATAAAATTGCAGGCAAGTTTGCTTGCAAAACGCTTAAAAGGACAGTATTTAACATATTAAGATTGTATAATATAATAATTTATATTAATAAAATTTATTTTTATTATAAATATAATATAGCATATTATAAAAATAAAAAAGTATTAAAATATTAAATGCCATTCTAGCTGCTTGGTTAATAGCAGACAACTTATTTTCACATGGATTCGGGATGAATCTTAATTCTTTAGCATGGCATATACATACAAACATACAAAACCTTTCGAGGTTTTACCAGATCAATATGTGATTCCATAATTTTGTGACTAAAAAACTTAATAATTAAAATAAATAGGCCTAGCTTAGTAACTTAAATATTAAAGAATAATAAGTAATATAATTTAAAAATATAATACGTGTGATCATTTTGAATTATTTCTTTTAATTATTTAATATTTTCTGTATTATGTTACAACTGCTAAAAAATTATTCTAGTTCATAATACTAAAGAATGTATTCATTATGTATTATAATTATGGATTACTGTGATATTGCATTTATTATTGTCTATATTATTTACTCATCATATTTTGACTAATGATAATTCTAATCTTAGGAGGATGAAGTAGACAACGCCAATCTACCGCGTGATTTTACAGAGATGGGAGAGTTCGTATTTTTTTATGAATGTATTATAAAGTATGCAGTAAGTATTTTTTTTATTACATACAATACATGACTTTACATTTACATATTAATATTAAATTACGAATTTAGTTGAAAGTAGCGGACACTCTATAGCTTGAAGATGGATCATTATTTGTGAATAACAAATAAATGAATCATGTTAGCTTTTGGTTTGCTGCAAGGAATAATTATTATTTCAAAATTTTTATTAATCAATTTGTTTCATTGAATTCTGATATTGGTGGTTGAGAACCGCGATATTTTGAGGCTAAAAACAACTCAAGATTTGGTAATAGGTTTTCGCCACTTGATGGAACTATCCAATCTTTCTTGATTCTCATTTTCGGGAAAATAATTACATAAAACTTATAATTTTATTCTTATTAACTAAATAAACTCTCTAATAAACAGCGTATCAAGTTGATTGAATTTAAATTATAAAAGAGAGTGAGTGAGTTAGAAACGTAAAAAATAGTTTATCTGGTGTTTAAATATTTATGACAAGTTATTCAGGAGGTCTTATGATTAACGGAATCAGGAACGTAAATTGATTGATTTCAGAAGTTATTTTACTATTTCATTACGGGGTTCAACACAATTAAAGTAAATCTCATTTATGGTTCGTTTATAAAAAATTAATAAAATTATCATTTTATTAAAGGTGAGAATAATTGAACGATAACTAAAGTTTATTATATACTGATTTTAGTCTTTATTTGCGTCATTATTTCATGCTTTGTGCAGCCTCATTAATGTCTGAAAATAATTAAAGTTTTTAATTTATGGTGTTTAATACCAATTTTACAATTTTACTTTTTATCTAATCTGTCAAACAAAAGTTCGTTTGAATAATTTAAATAGAAAATTTATGCATCAATGCTTAAATACAATCTTTACGCCAACGTTGGGTTACCACACTACAAAATGCTAACCCTAGTCCTAGTACATTAATAATAAAAAATAAATAAATTATCGATTAAAATGGATAATAATTATATAAAAAACCATTCGTTTATTAATGATTTGAAGTTTACCATACATTATAATCCATTTTGGAACTAATGAGGCAATTTTTTTTTTGTACATTTATATTCGTCTATGCTTTTAGTAAATTAGCTATTGTTCAAAATTTGTGGATATTCTAACTAAAAATCTTTTGCTTGACAAGATAAAAAGTAAATTTGTAAAATTGCGAATGGTATTAAACACCATAAATAGAAAACTTATAATTTTTTTTCGGATATTAATGAGGATCGACTAAAATAGACTATAATAAACTTTTTGTTATCTTCGATTATTTCTCACGCTTTCCTCCCTTCTTTTTACCTTCAATAATAATGATATTCTTGCTTTTTTATGAACGAAAATTCAAAATTCCATAAATGGAAAGGATAATCTCATCTATAAATTACGAGTATGGAGAGATAACCATAAAACGAGAATTCGCAGACGGTATAAGTTATTTCAAAAATTTTTATAAACGGTAGTCAAGGATAACGCAGAAGGCACTTGGTGGTCAAAGTTTTCGACTTCGAATACAATTGCAATTTATAGATTACTGTGGCATGTATGTCATTTATTATTGTCTGTATTATTATTCTTTTTATTACAATAAATGACTTACATTCACATGTTACTAATATTCAATTACGAATTTATTTGCTTTTGAGGAATCAAGAGTACAACAAGGATTACTTACGTTATTGTACTGAAAGAAGCGGACATTCAATAGCTTGCTTGAAGATGCATCATTATTTGTGAATGACAATTGAATCTAATGCTTATTGTTAAACATATTTATTTCAAATTTTGAATTGTTCAATTTCTTGATCTATAATGTTGGTAGTTGAGGATAATGCTGTTAATATAATGATTTAATATACTTTTATAAAAAACGCGATATTTCATTTGAAAAGGATGAAAACATTTCTATTGGTGTTGAAAAACTTCATTGGAAGAGGATAGCGGAGAAATTCTTTAATACTAATATTCACTCGTTGTGTATTCTTTAAAAATAGAGCATATTTGAAAAGATTTAGGAGTACCACACACCCTGCTTATGATAAACAAAATTATAAGTCAAGAATTATGTCTCGCTATAAATATAACGTCTCGTTAATTTTGCGAGATATTAAATTGTAAGATTGTATCACTAATGTGAAAATATTTGTACATTTTAAACAAATTTTGTTTTTTTGAAACTATTCCATTATGATGCCTATTACGCCGCAACAATGACTTTTATTTTCCATAGAAGTGATTTCATTGAACAATCCAGTTGCAAATTGAATTTTTCCATTACGTTAATTGTATAAAGAAATAAAAGAAAAAATAATCATGATAATAAGTTCACATATCTTGAAAGGACAAACTAAATGATTTGGGATTTGTAATTTTACTGATATTTTTTTTGGGCTTTAAAATTAATTCCAAAAACAAAAGATACAATTAAAAATAAAGTTGTATATTTACAAATTTAAAAAATTTATCATTAATTATTATTAACAACAAAAAATGTATATAAATTAAGAGGCGTAGTAAATTGTGACTACATTGATTTCTGAAGTTGTAAATTTAGTATAGCAACTCGACATAAAATGTATTATGTATAAATGTATGAATTTAATTACAGTTTATTGAATTTTGTAAATAAAGACTAACTTCAATATATGAATTTTATTCCGTTTTTTTCAATGCTCTCTTTATTACTATTATATCGTTACATATTTTTTACTATTTTACCATAAGTTATATCAATATTTTAATTTGTAAAGATATTCAAAATGATATTTACAAATCATTATGCGTAAAAAATCTTGAACATCTGATAATATAAAAATGAAAAGAAACATAAACTTAATTAATTTACTTTCTAAAATACTTAAAAAGTTCATAATGAAATTTGTACCTCAAAACTACAATTTCAAATGAAAGGCCAACAGGAGTGGACATCGACGGTTGATCTTTTTTTCGCATTTATTTTTCATATCCTTGAATGCAGGAAATAGGATCTTCTGATGAAGAATGCTTGAGAGTAGGAACACATTGTTTGTTCCCAATCAAGTACAAGATTTATAGCATGAAAAGCATCTTTTAATAATGTTACTCGACACCTTGTCCAATGGATTAAGATCTTGATTATTGTCTTTGTCGAGCGGATTATAAGTTTTAAATTGAAACATTCTGGATCATTTGTAGTTGATTTAGGAACAAAGTCCCAAAATTCTAATATAATATCATTGAATTCGCATTCAGGTCCAAAAATTTTGAATCATCTTCTTGACAGGTTAATGACTGTTTATCATCAACTTTGATTTTATCGGATTAAACGTCGTCTAATTTTGTGGGATACGAATAATTCAAAGTTACTCTGTAATAAGCTCATTAGAATTGCTTTTATTCTCATAACCTTGCTCTTGCTCGATTGGAATTAGATGAAAAATAAGCGTTGACGAATCACCATGTAATCTGAGAGACTTTTGGAATAAACTATTTCCTTGTAACTTTATGAATCTGTCCATAAGTTGTTTTGATATTTTGTTAATCCAATATCGAAAATTTGTAATTCGGGTTGCCTCTGTTATCGTGCTAAAAAAACGTAAGAAAAAATACAAATTAATTTTTTTATTCCATTTTAATCGAGGGAATTTGAGGAAAATTTAGGCTTACCTGGAGAATTAATTCCATCTACGCCAACTAAGATATCACAAATTTCTTGTGAACCATCATCAAACATTACCCAAACACCATCTTTAGTTTCTCTCGAATCTAATGCATATTTTTCCCAATCACGATAAGTAACCATCACGGAAAGTTCATCAGGAACTTTACAAGTTCGTTAAAGTCTTTAAATTGTTTAGATGGTGGATGTTATAAAAGGCTTCCTTTATTATCGATAAATGATGCTCCATGAAATTCTACGCGAGAAGTGGATTTGGTATCACTTTTTGAAGGTTTGAAGTGATCGAAGATGGTATACAATTCTAAAGCGATCGAGTTTCCATGATAGTTTAATGCTATATGATATCTTTGCCATCGTTCTATAGAATTTACGAATTAATTCGAGTTAGTTATGTCACGTTTTTAAAAAGAACAGGACTTTTATGCTTACCTCTTGGACTGGAATCCCTTTCGAAGATTTTTTAATTCGAATTCTTTTTTATCTTTGTTTTTTATCAGTGTAAAATAAAGAGCAAGTCTTCCTAGACCTGCACCGATAATAACTTTTGGAATTTTGCGTGTTGCATTGGTTAGGTGTTAACATTATATTTTATCAAGATTGTTTAAATTTTAAAATTTGTGTTTACAGCTATTCTTATAATTCCTGGACCACCCGGTTTATTTTTGTTCCGGAGATAAATTTTTTCATACGCAGTCAT